TCTGAACTTCGATACTTTAAGAGTTGCAATACCTTACGTGCTGGTCATCAGCTATTGGCGTCACTAAGTTCTGACAAGTTCAATACCTCTGATTCAACATTTCAAGAGAGATAAACAATGAAATGATCCTTGCTAGAAATCCAGGCTTTTGTTCCTTTTTGAAATAAGTTTTCATAACCTGGTTAAAATTTACTCGAACGGGAGTTAGTTTTTTGGCTGTCGCATTTAATTTGGGTGCTTTTTGGACGAGGAGCGAAATTTAAGGGGGCACATCCATGACTTTGCTGTAATATCAGGGCCAGTTATGTAAGAAGAATAAGCAATTACGGTGAGGAAACGAGCTTCAAACTTTTTCATGAAAGTTAACTGACTGTTTGGTTGTCTCTACAGAAAAGAGTTTGTAATTCTAAAAGCTCTTTTAGTTAAACAGCTACCTAAGGCTGGCAAAGTCTTAAGTATTGGGGTTTCATTAAGAATCGTGGTCGCAAGATAAATACTGTAAAATAAGTTGAAAATATTGTCCAGGTCTAAAAAAATTGTTCATACCTTGCAAACTTAGGTGCAGAATTTTGTGCAGCAGTAGTTCAATTCTTTGATCTTGGATGCCCAAAAACATCCTAAGAATTTTTCTGATGTACGAGATTATGTAAAAACTTCTATTGAAGATGTTTTTTGGGGATTTAGAGAAGAATTTCTATAAGAGTTAGCTCTGAATCTTAAGTCGTGTTTTTGTTAGATTGGCTACTTACTCGAACTGGGAAAAAACTTGCTTTTTTGAGACGTGAAAAAAGGCTTGAACCGACAGCAAATTTTTTTTTGTGAAGGTCAACAGTCATACAGATTGTGCAATTTAGCCTTAATGTTTATAACCCTCGTGCAAGAAGAAACATTATTTATATTTTACTTCAGTTGTAAAGATCGAGAGAGTCTGCTCTGATTTTTGCATTAACATCACTCTTAAGATATTGTCAATAGATTTTGGTTTCATTACGAACACACGAAAATTAAACTTCTTGTGACAATACTCGAAACAACTCAGTACATTTATTAACTTAATTATGGTAACTTCACAATTTAAGTTAAGACGGTGACGTTTAATTCCTGTTGAAAGCTGCAGACATTTCATGAGAGCTTTTGCACTGTTTTGTTTTGATATTGGAACCGATATTATGTAGGTCACGGATTGTGGTCCCAATATTTTTGTGGGCAATTTTTTTCCATTTAAAAACTAATCAATTTACGTCATATTTGCCATGGCAATGCTTTCATTGACTTGTAAACCATATAAAATGTTTAGACATCTAATTTTTTAATCATAGCTAAGAATACTTCTTTCATGACTTCGGGAGCTCGATAATTTTGCGTAGGTTAAGTGCTGGAGAGAGTTGTCTTGCATGACTAAAGCAATTTAACCTATATTATTAAATGAGTCATAAATTCTAAAATTTTTGACAGGACCACTTCATATACACCAATAAACAACACAAAAGAGTAAAGCGTCTTAATAACAAGAATAAACATGATCTTTATACAATGATGAATTAGTAACACCTTCAGAATGATGGCAACTTCTTTAAAGCTATCACACTGCATAGTCCTGTCTTCCTCCTCCCCCTCAGAACTAAACAGAAAAATTAATATATAAAATAATTTTGTATAAGAAATCAGATTTAGCAAGTTTTCTAAGGGTCTGACCTCAAGAATAGTTTTGGTAGAATGAAACTAGTGAAGGTAAAGTAAGAACTCGTGTAATTGAAAAAAAAGGCCAAAATGAAATTACATTTGACGATAAAAACTTGCGACAAAACGTTGCTTGATAACATTGTAAAATTTAAAAACGATAAAAAGCTATAGAAAGCTAAAATCGACGACGTTTCGACGTTAACATAACGTTTTTATCAAGTCAAGAATGTACAAAAATAAGTTCTATAAATACTAAAAACGAACAATAAGAGAAAATGATTTGCGGGTTAAACAAAAAGTTTAGCACGTATGGAGTCCGTTTGCACGTTCAGATTAGGTTTGAATTTCTTAATACAAAGCATTTCAAACACTAAACAATTAAATTTGCTTTGACACTTTCTCAGAATCTTAAAATGACTATCATTCAAACGATCCCTCCTACCATGCGCTTCATGAAAATGCTTGCCAATTGCCGAATTTTTGTGTTCAGCGACACGTTGAAAAAGGTGTCGGGCCGTATAGCCGACATAATCTGCATCGCACAGATCACATAAAAAATGATAAACAACACATCGCTGATTAACAATTGACGGCTTGGGTTCTTTAGGTTTAAGGTCTTGTTCTAATTTCTTGCTTACAAAAACTGGCTGCAAAACGAGGCCAATCTTATTACTGAGATCACACAGCTGTCTCCGAACAGAATTAGCTGAAACCTGATCTTTGATCTCGTCAGCATTTCTCTCCGCTGTGCCTACAGAAGGTTTACGAGAAACAAAATTGGAAATAACAGAATCTATAAGACTACAAGGGTAATCAAGATGGCTAAAAATGGAGCGCAATTTGGCGCATTCTTCATTAAAAGCCTCTATTGTGGAGGATAGCGTATAAGCGCGATGTAACAATGTCTTTAATAAAGACTATTTATTAAAGTCACTTCTTCTACGTAAAATGAAATTAGTGCACAGAAAGTAAACCTGGAAAAAAATCTCTTCGTCCCTCCAAATGATTTTTTGAGAAGAAATAATTTAAAAGAGATGTCATTTTTACTAAAATTATTTTGCATAAATGATTTGAACAAAAATTTGAAAGTATTTTGTTAGAAATTTAAACAAAGAATAGGCGTCTTAGAAAGTTCCAGCACCTTCCGTTCCCTCTGTGACTTCTTGAACGTTCTTTTGGTGGGCACCAGTTTCCACATTCACTCTATCTAATCAGCGGCATCTTGTGTTGATAACTGAGGTAGCCAGAAAAATGTTATTGTTCGTAAGTGGCAAAGGTCTGCTCTTGTACATGATCCTGTTTTTTTAGTGATATGTTCCTGAACTTGTCCGTCGGGGTTGTCATGGTAACTGGATTTTGTGCTCTTGACCCAGTGTTTTAGACTTACACCCAATCATATGAAACATGAATTATTGCTCCCAAGTAATATTTTTTTACAGAGTTTCTCTTTGATTTGTTTCGTTTTGTTTTTTCGAGAATAATGAAAATTAAAGAAATTTTTGCTTTTCAATGATGTTGATAAAAGATTTGCTCTGCTTCCGCTGGTAAAAGTGGCGTTTTCAAATGCGCCGTATATCGATGGTTATGCAAGGTCAGCTCGAAAATTATACCATGATAATTTTGGGATTACAACCAATTTCAAGTAATGTGTAACCTGAATGGGAAATCATGATAAGAAAATCAGTGCAAATTGGATTATTCAACAACTATTACCTTCCCCCTAAATTTCTTCAATTTTTTTTTTTCAAGCTGACCTTTGTTTGTTGATAACAAACTAATTTTTCATGCAAACAATTTTGGTATTCACAAACAATAAACTCAAGCTCTCACATTTGTAGTTTTGATCAAATGAGAAAAAAAGTTTACAATTGCCTTTGTTAGAATCTGCTTTTCGACGTGAGTTTTAGCGATGAAAAAGCTTTAATAATATCATCTCGTTTTTTTTCTTGAAAAGAGAAAAGATGTTTGAAGTGACATCTTTGAGATGGTTATGACCTTTGAATAATCAAAACTCTCAGATTTTTTTTAATAGCCATGGAAAAATTTTTGCAAGGGTTCCTGCTTTTAGGGTTTTTTTTCCGTAGGAAATTTAAGATATGACTTTTGATAGAACATCCAGCTAATTTTTTTTTTGAAAATTGTACACAGCAAAATCTTTTGGCTTTGCAGAGTAAAATTATTTTTAAGATCTAAGTGGTAAAAAGATTATATCATTGACTTAATTTTGATTAATCTTATCTCAGTTTAACCCTTAAACCCCTAACAGTGACTTACATTTAATTCCTTCTCACAGCATCACAGCTAAATCAATCATTAAGGTCTTTAAAATGAGGAAAGTGATTGCAAACTAAAGAAGCTCGTGATTGTCCAACAAATTCTTCTTGTCATTACCAATGGAAATATAAAAGGAACAATGTGGAGAAAAATAATATTGATTTGAAGGTGTCAAAGGTTAACCTTTGTAGATTGTCGAGGAAATCGTATTTGTAATGCTTCTACGTTAGATACTAAAGTTTAGTTTTTTCTTAGGTCTTAGAATCTGTTCTTTTATGAAATGTGAATAGTTATCCCTATTCTCTGCATTTTCTGTGGATGTTATTGCCTAATTAGATGCTCATAATAAACGTAGTTCCCTTTTGGAATTATCACTGTTCTATCAGAAAGGCAAGGTATTAGAACTTACTAAGTTTAAAGGCAGAAAAAGCGTTTGCAATCTTTACTATATGAAGAAGTATACTGTCATTGATGATAACACAAAGTTGTGTCATCATTTTAACTCATTATCATGAGTACGTAGAAGAATGATTCCATAACTTACAAATTTATCCCTGGTTTAAGCTGTTAATGTATTTATGCACTCGTCTCCAAGTATTGGCTCCTCAGGCTTTTTAAAGCAAAGAAAGTATTGCTCGACAATGTTTGGTTTTAGCTTTGTTTAACTTGATAAGGTTATTTAGGCCACAAATGATCATGGCTTGATCAAAGAATTTCTTAAAATGCCAGGAAAATCGATAACATGAAATTGAACATCACACATGCAAAGAAGGTAAAGCAAATTATTTTGTTGATGTAATTGAAAACACCATAAATTTTGAATTGTCAGAATATTGCCTTTATGGTGTTATATGGTTCAGGAAATTTGTAGAACCAAATATATTTAGTGATTGTGTAATTGTCTCACTTGGACTATGGACTAACCTATTGTTAAAGGTTTATGAAGACTAGCAGACTGTCTGGTGTTTGTTGATATACATGGTAGTTAAAAAGATTGGATTGCATATTGCATTGTCACGGGTAAGGCGCTGTGATCGCAGGTTTGGCTTATCAACGATAACCTCAGGAAAAATCATTGTCTTTTTTGGCCATTTTTGTTACTACTAACAACAAATATTTACAGACAACTTCTCTGCAAGTAGGTACTTATTGTTAAAAATTCCTTTCTTGCACAACAGTAGTACGTCAAAAGCATTGACATCAGCAGTGAGTTAGCATAATCCTAAACTAGTGATGTGTCGCTAAATGATCGTGCATTTGTGATTATCATATTTAATGAGCTTGCTGTTCCTTGGAAAAGGATCTAATCTTCTGTAAGGTAAAGGTCACATTTCTTGGAATAATTTTCCTCTTTTACGACTGTGTTACTGGTACATTTTTAATGTATTGTGAGCTTTGGCAATCGCAATGTTTTGGAAAAGTATTGTTTCTCCGATATGGTATGATTACTAGATTTTTCATAGCTTCAGTCCTACTTTTTATGTTTATATTTCATGATATGGAAAACTCAATTTGTGATTACCAAAGAAAGCAAAAGTTTACCTCCAGGACTCAACTTTCCAAGCTGATACTCCATGACAGTGTTTAGGATGGTCATTCTCTAAACAGAACTTTGACACTACTACTCTATTTGAATTTTTAGCTTTTCTCTGTTTTAAAAAAGTGTAAGAACTACGTGTTTCCTGTTTTTTATTTTTATTTTTTTTTTTTTGCTAAGACCTCTTTGTTATCTTTGCTCTAACTTGCTCTTACTTAACCAACTTGGTGCTGAAGTAGATCCACATTTTTTCCGATATGAATCCTTTCAACAATGCTTTATTATTCAGTAGAATTACAATTTTTTTGTATTTAGTTATTCAGTCCTTTGAGGACCGTAGTATTAAGAAACCAACATACAAAAAGACTTCGGGAATGATTTATTCGGTAATATAGGAAAAATGAATAGAATTCGAAACTGAATTTCCCCAGGGGAAGCTTTGTTAATATTACTTTTGCGTGTGTTTTATTTTTGCATCTTTCAAACTCATGATATACTGCCAATATTGTCAGTATATCAGTATTTTTTGTATAACTACCATTAAGTTTGTTTTAGTCCTTTCAGTTTTTTCGAAATTATGAAATAGTTTTACTTTCCATTTTTCACGTATTGGTGCTGCTTTATCTAATATATAACTGATTAAAAGGAACCTCCACTCTTTTAACAAATAGCGCTCAAAATGTTCCAAATGTACTTCTCAATAGATCTGGTATATAAAAAATTCCCCAACCAATTGCTAGCGATCTGATTTTTTATCGTTTTTTAAAGAAGGTACTAGTGGCCACTGAATTTCCCACGGTCGCCATCTTGAAAAGTGCGCAATGCACTCTGGGCTGATGAAGTAAAATTGTTGCTCGGTGAACTCGCGGTGTAGTTTCTTACTCTTGATGATGCTATATTGCTGTCGTCTTTAGAAAATTTCAGTGAATGTGTCACAAATCTTCCCCGTGAACTTTTCGAGCGGCGGTCCACATTTTCAGAATTAAAACCTGATGCTTCTCCATATTCTTCATCTTCTACTTCACTTCCCAGTCTCTCTTCACTTGAAGAGTGCTCCAGCTCCAACTTATGGGAAAGATCTGTGACACATTCACTAAAATTTTCTTCAGACGATGGCAATACAGCATCAACAAGAGAGAAACAGCACACCGTGAGTACACCGAGCAACCATTACATTTTGAACATTTTGAGCGCTATTTTTTATGAGTGGAGATTCCCTTTAAGAGATGGTAAACAAAAAAAAATTAACTTTGTTGATGGGGGAACTTCTTGATTTAGAAACAGTTGTTGATAGCTAAATTAAAAAAATATTTTTCTTTGGAAATTACATCCCAGGACAGCATGTAAAGTAAGCAACTTCCTCATGTGCTTTATTGTACCTCGTACAGGAACACCTATGAAGAACTTGTTCGCATGCTTTGTTTATGTTAGTTACAATTGCTTTTATTTACACACCTGTATAAACTAGGATGTTCAATGCATCCTGGAAAATGTGCAGTATTTAAGTAGATTATGAAAGAATAGTGTGAAATGATCGCTGTAGAGTTTCTAAAGCTGACGTATCGAGAGTTAGCCCTTTTTTCAAAGCATAGTATTTGTTTTAGCCGTAGATGTCTGTTGCATATTGTTACCTGACTGGAAACAGCGAAAGTTCTTTGGTTGTGCTTAGAGCTTCATCGTATTATGATAACCTTGACTTAGAGAATATCCCTTCGTTTGTCTTTCTAGATCATACCTGAATTCTCAAACTCGTACAAATAAGGATCACAGAACTGGTCAGAGATGGTCAAAGGTGAGGGAGACACTACAGATAACAAGAGAAAAGGTGCTCTTCCAAAAATCCAGGAGGGAACATCGGAAAGTTACTATGAAGGTGACCATAGTCATGACCATAGCAGGTTCATGCCATCTGTGGAGGAATGTCGGTACCTAAACGACCAGGGGCAGCATATAGACTCAGATAAGGTGCCTCATTATCATCATTACCGAACCATCTCAGAAAGAGAGGAATTTCAGTCCAGGATTCGAAACGGTGCGGTCTCAATGAAGGACATTGAAGTGCTGCAAGAACGCTTGGAGAGAGACAACGATAACAATATTTTGGCAGGAATGTCGGACTCTATCCAAATGGCAGGTATGTTGTAAAATTGCAGATAGATCTTATTTCTCTGACAGGAAAACCTCTTTTATGGTGTTTGTAAAAAAATACATTTGCTAACCATTGTAAAGGTGCGTTTTATACAACTCTTGCGCATCATGGCTACGCTGAGGAGTTAAGCAAATTTTAAGGTGCTTAGCAGAGCATTATGTCGATAATCGCGAGGGCAGGCAATTGCAAATAATGATAGAGCACTTTTCGATGGAGTGTAGTAGAATCAAAACCAAAGTAATCACAACGACCTATCAGAAGAAAGGAAAACACCTTTAAGAACCAATGAGAACTCAAGGTAAAAACAACCAAACTGCCTCAAGCGCGGGACCAAGACGTGATTGGTTTCAGTTTTGCATATGATTGGTTAAGAAAGTGTGCGAGTTTCCCAGACCGGTCACTTTGAGGGTCTCATTATGCTGCCGAATTTTTAAGTTGAACGCGTGCTTTGAAAAATGCGGAGTTTGACTGATGATGCCTCCTCGTTGTTGGAGTTTTTTTAAGTCTTGTGTCAACTGAGTTGGCAACCAAACAAACTTTCTTTTAGTACTGAATCTCTTGCAACTTGATTGAATTAATTATTTGTCGATCTTATTTTCTCCTTGAAGGACTTCGCAAATCTCAACGCAAATTGTCAGGCATGCAGACTCTTTACAGCTCAACAGACATCAGCGCTAGTTTGGACAAGTTTCCTGTCTTATATGATCGTAATCCTCACGAGGTAAGACTCAGCAGCACCTTTTAGATCAATCCACCCCTCCCTGGCTAGTTTTAATGACCAAAAAGGGGTGGGGCGATAAAAATTGGTAACCTTTATCCATCACTCTCCTCGTTTATATAAAGTCATTACATCGCTTTGGTGATACTGCTCAATCACTTCCAGTCTCGCGAGGATGACAACTCTATCAGTGAGAGAGAGTGAAACACAATGCAGGTCAAACATCCTTTGGATAGTTATTGAAAACATGACTTACGTCCGAATATATTGCAAAAGACCACTTTTTGCCAATTCAGTCATATACAAAGAGCCTCCACTCGCTAGACGTGCAATGTCGGTAAAACCAAACAATCACCACTTCTTGGTAAAGTTTGCGTAGCGCACAAAATTCAGCATTGTTTGGGGAAGCTGGGGGGGGGGGAAGGTAATATCGGGTCAAGTTTACCAAGATTATTTAGTTCCCCTGTTGTCTAAGACCCCTAAAATAATCAATACCAAACTGGAGTCATTTTTACTGGATCGTTTCATTGGATGGTGAAGATGATCAGTGATGGCACAGTCTAGGTAACGTAGTTTGTGTGAAGGGGGCTAATGATTTTAGAGGGTAATCCTTTACAACCTAACATCTGTATGCATGTTCTCCATACATTTCCTGAGGTGCTGACATGGAGACTTTGTTTAACAATGTGTATGTGATTCAGGGATAATACTTTAAGGAGAAGTTAGGCACTGGTCACTATTAGGATTCAAAGGGTTCACTGGTGCTCAGTGCCCTTTTATATGACTTGTATTTGTTAATCACATAGTGATAAAGCTTCTTTTGCTTTATAGGCATTTGTTGAGTTGGAAGAACTTAGCAAGCACGGCGAGGAGATGGAATGGAAGGAGACAGCTCGATGGATTAAGTTTGAAGAGAATGTTGAAGATGGTGACCGCTGGGGAAAGCCACATGTGGCTTCACTAACCTTCCACAGTTTGCTAGAACTACGTAAAGGCTTAGAAAAAGGTATGAGAATTAAGGTGTCCGTGGTGAGAGTTAGGTTTTAAATCAGACAATTTCCTCCAGTTGATAGTTCTATCTTCTCGTCACCTTTCTACTTGAAGGTTTATTGACATTGTAAGGAAAAATTCCTTTCTGGTCACTCTTGGGAGTGAAGGGTTTAAGTAATGCTTCGTTGCCATTGTAGATGTGGTTTCACATGTGTTTAACATGTATTTCGTTCTCTCAGGGACTGTCTTGTTGGACTTGGAGAAGTTTGATTTACCTAACATCGCTAAGGCTGTGGTAGAGAACATGGTGCTCTCAGACCAGCTCAAACAGAAGGACAGTAACAAGGTCCTTACGGCGCTACTGTTGCGACACAGACATCAACATCAACGACGTCCTTCATCCAAGAGGAGAAAGAAGTTGGCTGTAGCAGCTGATAACTTGGGATTTAATAGCCTAGCAGAGACTGGAAACGGTGTCATTCGAATGAATATGAATGAATCAAATGGTGATGTGCCAATAACTCAGGTTTGTAGTGTTGTGTTAATGTGAAGCCAGTAGTCTTCTCCAAGTGAAATTCTTGTTTTAAAAATTCTTACTACAGATTACCGGGGCTATGGCATTGTCATTATCATTATCATATTCTTCATTGCAAAACAATAGCTCTATATACCCTCAAGTGGTACACTCACACCAAAGTAGAGACCACTAGTCACAACTTCTTACTTTAATGTGATGTGTTTGACTTTCTCTTCATTTTTTATTGACAACGAACAGGATAAAGTTGACATTGAAACTGCCGGTTTGGATGAAGATGAGGAAAAGCAGGAGTCAGATGTAAAAGATAAAATTCCTCAGGGAGCCGAAGCCACGAACGTCCTTGTTGGAACACTGGATGAACTACAGGACCCAGTAATGGCGTTTGTACGGCTTGCTAAAGGAGTCCATCTAGAGGAAATGTCAGAAGTGTCCATACCCGTTAGGTTCCTGTTTATCATGTTAGGTCCAAGCTCACATGGAGAAATTTATCATCAGATTGGGCGCTCTGTGGCCACTCTTATGTCCGACCAGGTAAGGGTCTTCGTTGATTGACAAAGCGGTGCTCACAGGGGAACCACAGGGTGCTTGAAGGCTATTGTGTGAGAACTCTGAGTTGTCCAGCTCTGGAAAGCTTTCGCAAAGAAAAGTGATACAAGTCATCTTAAGACAAAAGAGAACTAACGTTAACAGCTCGTCAAAGCGCATTTCAACTGAGTGTCGCAAGACCAAAACCAAAGCAGTCACAACGACCAATAACAACTAACGACGCCTGGAGCGCGAGAAAACGCCAGTGACCAGGACGCCGTTGGTTTTAGTGTTCATCTGATTGGTTAAAAGGATAGGACGAATATTATCCACCAATCACATCTTGAAGTGAAAAGAACAAAACCAGCAAGATCCCGGATTACTTTTGATACTCAGTCAGAAATTGCTTTGGTACATAATTGTAAAATCCACGATGATAAGAAAAATGAATTTTTTTTCCAGGCTTTTCATGACGTTGCTTACCGCGCTGACTCTCGTGAAGAACTCCTGCAATCCATCAATGAGTTTCTTGAAGACACTCTAGTTCTGCCACCAGGCAACTGGGATCGAAGCGTTCTTCTTCCCATTCTTATTGCTCAAAGTAGAGCCATAGCTCTCAGAAGAAAGCTGGCCAAAGCTGGTGAGAATATTGCACTTTGTTTGACAGTGAACTCCTTATTACGAACGCCTTTATGATGAGCTCGTACGCAGATTTATTAACGTGGAGGGGGGGGGGGCTGTAGCACCTTGTAAAATCCTTTGCAACTGCAAGGAGAACTTTATTTTTGTTGGCACATGGCAGTAGCGGATCTGGGGAAAGGGGCCCAAGGGGCCTTGGTCTTCCCCTTGTTTTGGGTAAAAATTTAAATTGCGGAAGCAAGAAAAGCCGGCAGGTGTACACACACATAACCCCTCCCCCACCCTTAGCTCAAGATCTGGATCCGCCTCTGCGTAATTGTTCCTGCAAACTGGACTAGGGGGAGATGAAAATCTCGTAGGCGCGTGTAACTGTATATCAATAACGTTTTGTGAGCGGGGAAATAAAGTCAGAAGGGGGAACTTATAGGTGCGATTTCACTCTGCAAACCTCACCTTGTGACGATTTATCGACAGCTTCATCCTCCCATTCGGAAGGAGACCCTGCTTTGGCTCGCACAGGAACCTTCTTTGGGGGGCTTATCCAGGACGTCAAGAGACGAGGCAAAGTTTACCTCAGCGATTTCAGAGATGGTTTCAATCTTCACACTCTCCTGGCATCTCTTTTCCTATATTTCGCTTTATTTGCGACAAATATCGCTTTTGGAGGACTGTTTGAAGACAAAACTGAAGGCTGGCTTGGTTTGACTGAAGTGATTTTTGCAGCTTGCGCTTGTAGTATCCTGTTTGGGTTGTTTGGAGGGCAGCCCATAATGATCATTGGCGCCACTGGTCCAATGTTGGTGTTCGAACAAAGTATATATGAGGTAAATATCAGCCCAGCACATGTGGCTTTCCCCAAAACCTTTAACACTCGGACACGGCGCCTGCAGTTCCTTTTTGCAAAGAAAATTAACTAACCATTAGGCTATTGCGTCTTCCAAAGTTCCTACGGTTATGAGAAAAATCGACGATCGATTAGATAGATTTTGATCTGACACTAAAATCTCCCGCGTATTTGTCAAAGGATACTGTAGACATCAGCGTAGATAATTTCTCTTTCAAGCTTAAAATTAAAGAAGTCAATGTCCTTGTCTTATGATGATGACGATGATGATAATGATGATGATGATAATGATTATGATGATTAATATATTATTATTAACATGTTATTATTTCAGTTTTGTAAGGCATACGATGTGGAGTTCCTTACTTGGCGCTGTTGGATCGGGTTCTGGGTAATGATCATCTTGTTCGGCGTGGTAGCCTTGGAGGGCTGTTTCTTGATCAAATACTTTACGCGTTTTACAGAGGACATCTTTGAACTTCTCATCTCAGCAATCTTCATCTACGAACCACTTGCACTGCTGATCAAGGTAAAGGATCCTTTTTTTGAATGCGTGAACGTGATTCCAAAAAATAAGTGACTGCATCGTTCAGTTATTTAGTCATTCCTAGCCGTAAAGTAAGAGACTAGCCATTATTTATCGCCCCTCGAGGGGAGGGTGGGGGTTGGGGAGATCACTTGGTTTTCAGGGGAAACAGAGCGGGGGAGGGCTAGTCATCGCCGAAAGAGCACGTATAATTAACCGGCAATGAGATGGGATAATTCGAATATTACAGAGCCTTTTGGGGCGGATCAAGTGATATTATCGTGACACAACCAAAATACCCCCCTCCCCAATCCTCCGACGATAAGTGATAGCCGGCCTTTAATTAATTCCGATTATTTGCAGCTTTTCAAAAAGAATCCACTGAACAGGGTAGGGAGCGGAAAATACTCAAGCGTGGACGAAGTCAAAGGAGAACCCAACACAGCTTTGTTGTCCACCATCTTGGTTCTGGGAACGTTTTTCATCGCTTTCTACATGCGCAAGCTCAGAACAAGTCACTTCTTTGGAAAGCGGGTTTGTACCACTCTTTTTTTCTTTGACATTCACATTACCTATCTGAATGTTCATGCCTTTATTTGGCATGAATGTTTACCTGTTTGTTGTGTTCATTTTAAGTGAAGGCAACATTTATTTAAGAGTGCGCTTACGAGAAACTGATTTTCCAAATGTGAAAGAAGTTGCGCGCGCGGAACAACTTTATACTTATCAGCGGCTACAAGCGCGGGAAAACAACGCTCTGTGATTGGTGTAGAAAACTCTTGCCACCGTCTCAACCAGTCAGGCACAAAACGAAACTCAGTCGCGACTTGGTCACTTGCACTTTCCCACGCTCTTCGTTGCATTGAGTTCTGATTGGCTCCATGTTATATTTTCCTTCGATCTTATTGGCCATCGTGATTACTTTGGCCATCGTGATTACTCAACCTAAATGAGCATTAATTGAAAAACGTTCGTTTGGTCTCCTTGCAGGCCCGAAGACTAGTCAGTGACTCTGGTATTGTCATCGCTATGTTCATTATGGCTATGATCGATTTTGCCCTCGGTGACAAAGTCATCACCCAGCATATATCCATCAATGATCCTGTGACGGAAGGCTTCAAGCCCACGCAACACGATAAACGAGGTTGGTTCATCAATCCTGGAGGCATGAACAAAGAAATGTCGATGCCATGGATCTTTGCAGCCATCATTCCTGCAGTTTTTGTTGGTATCTTGCTGTTCATGGAAACGGAAATGACCGGGGTGCTTTTGAGCAAGAAAGAACACAAGCTTGCCAAAGGTCCAGGGTATAATATGGATATGTGTGTGGTGGGTATGTTAGCTTTCGGATGTTCCCTGCTCGGGTTGCCATGGATGTGCGCGGATACAGTGCGATCGGCTTCGCACGTGAATGCGCTGTCCATCTGGAGCACGTCGCATGCTCCTGGAGAGAAGCCGCATCTTATTGAAGTCAAGGAGCAGAGAATCTCGAACATCATAGTTCATGTCCTGACAGGTGAGTTTATACAGCTTGACTCTAGTGGGGATGGGGGGGGGGAGAGTGGAGGGTTGAAACCTGAGTGGTACTGCGGATAGGGAAATATGCTATAAAGCGGAAACTGAGCTGGGAGTGTAAGAAAAAAGGCGAAGCTAAGAGGGCCCTAGAGGATATTTTACCCACCTTTATCAGGTGGAAGGCTCACAAATTTCGACATTAAAACAACTCAGCAGGCTCCTGAATGGAAGTAAAACATAAGTGTAAGAACCCCTCCTTCCCACCCCCCCCCATTTCACGCGAACATCCTACTTGAATTTCCTTTCTGTATTCGTCTTAACTTACTCAGAGATGTTTTCTCAGTCGAGTTAGCAAAGCGAAGTAAATCAAACCAAAATAATCCCGAATTACTCGCGACGCTCCATTGAGAATTGCTCCAGGAAATTTTAAGGTATCGATGCAAAATGCTGAAGGTTACGTTAACGTGCTCCGGGAAATCTCATAAAATCCGGGGGGAAACTTATCATAGAGGAACCCCTTACCCAGGAGAAGTAGCGATACTCATATTAGTTTCATGTCACGGAAACTACGACAAGCTCTGGCATTGTCTGGGACTTCAGTTTTTACAATTTTTGCCGTTGTTGCAGGTTTGTCCATTCTGCTTGCTCCAGGGTTGAATGTTATTCCCATCCCGATTTTCTTCGGCGTCCTCTTGTACCTGGGTATTGTATCCATGTATGGGCTTCAGATGGTTGACAGGTTCATCATGATGTTCATGCCACGTAAACATCACCCGGATGTCGGATACGTCAGGAAGGTACGTCATTTCTTTGTACCCTAAGAGTGACCAGCATCTAATTTCTCCTTACATAGACACTGCTAAATGATTCATTAAGATCGCGAGAATAAATGAAATGATCGCCATCTTAAGGATGCTGGTCTTTAAACACGAAGGCCCGCTATAAAAAGGAGAGGTGCTTTAGGTACCTCTGGACCATTTGTCAATCAACCGTCGTGTGATGTAGAAGTCTAAGAGTCAAGTCAGCTTGAGCTACAGCTTATCCAAAGCCAGTGAACATCGGGCGCATTCCTCAAAATTGTTTTATGTTTTCATCACAATACAAGAATTTTTGAGATTTGTATCTCCTTTCTCCAATGGAAACTGTCTTTATTTGTGGCTGTAAATTTGAAATCGAAGTACGTGGTTCGCACATTACATCATTGCCACCATGCTGATAGAGGTAAACATCTCATTAGCTCCTTTTGTTCGTCTACCAGGCACCTAAGGGACCTCTCCTTTTATAGCGCGCCTTCGTGTTTAAGAAATTCTCCTCGTCAGCACTTTAGGAAACGTATGGAGCACAGTATAGAGAATATGCAAACTGATGTTAGGATGCAGAAAGGTCAAGAGACGACTAAGAGTCTAAAGGTCAAGGGTTTGTTTCCTCTTAGGGAGCTGGGAGATTTTTTTCAGTCCCACGTTCGTGAGGAGAATAAATTTTATCTTTCCTAAAAAGCAAAAAATACTTATTGTTGCCAAATCAAAGCTTACTTCCTTGTTAACAAACCCTTATCCGCGAGAGACGAGAGATCCTGGGTACATGTCCTCCTTTGCGCCTTTGTTACGTCACAAGGTGGCACTTACCACGCCATATGAGGCAATACAATGAACACTGGAAACAACTTTCTTACGTATTTTGATTTTTTTTTCGTGTTTTTTTTTTTATAGGTGAGAACCGGCAAGATCCATTGCTACACTGTTATTCAAGTACTAGCCTTGGCTTTCCTGGTCGGAATCAAGTTATCTCCTCTGGCACCATCCTTTCCCTTTTTCATTATCTGCTTGATTCCTCTACGCAAGCTGTTAACAAGGTTTTATAAAGAGGAAGAACTTGAGGAGGTAGGATGGGCTTAAAAAATTGTTCATTATCATCTCCAAGAGTGTTGTCTAAATTCTTAGGTTTTTCATAAGCAGTACGTGGTAATCTTTCTATTTTTTTTGGTTGAATCTTGGGTGTGAAAAAAAGTGTTTAGAATAACAGAAGATATTCGCCTTCTTCACAAGTCGAAGAACATCCTTTTTTATCGCCCCGAAAAATCCTGTCTTTCTTCTATTTACTCGCGACGCTTCCGGCATTGCAGCTCTTGGCAGTATACATGACGCGCACCATATAAGAACCTAGTGGTTGCCAAGCCTGCCCTAGAGTCTCTGTAGCTTAGAGGTACAGCGTAGGAGCGCGGAATCTGAGGGCCAGTGGTTCGATTTCTCGCGAGGAACTAGATTTTATCTTTTTCTCATGTGATGAATAACATTTCTCTTGCTGTTTTATTTTGAGTTTTTTTCTCCCTAACACTTTAACTCCCAACATCTGATCGTTAATTGTTTGCAAAAACAGCTGATTTGTATTTTGCTTTTATTTTGCAGCTTGACAATTCAGAATCAGAAGAGGAGGACAGCGACTTTGAACTATAATTAGTTACAGCATCTGCCGTATTCTGCGTGACTGGGTGTTGCGTGACTCACTTCACGTCTCTATCATTACGTGACACACGAAAATTATTTATTCGTCGTGAAGAAGAACGCGATGAAGATACAGCCTGCTATCCAGTCAGACAGAAAGAACCTTTAATCCACGTAACACTGAATAATGATCGTACTTAACGATCTTAATTATCACTGGCGATTGCAAAAGTTTATCTTCTGCTTTATTGTATATGGAATATGGGTGGAACAAAAATAAAGTGGTATGCACAGAGGCCCACGCGAGGCGAGGAGCGCGTATTCCCTCGCGCTTGTCCCAACCTTCATGCACGCCTCGGGTTTGCTTCGCTAGCTCTTCCCTTATCTTCACTCCCCTGAAAAACGCAAAACAAAATTATGACTGTTCTTCAACCTTAGAGCTTCAACCTTCAGCTTCAAATAATTTGATAAATTGTGACATCTTCATCTCTACTTGTTTACAATTAGCAATCAGTGAATCCTCTACACTCACGTGACATCTTCAATCACTGCTCGCTTACAGTTGGCTATCAGTGAATTCTCAACACTTACTTGTTACTTTATGAATTAGTAGACAATTTAAAGCCTTCCGGCTTTTACATTTTTGTAGCCTTTGGTACATCCAGGATTTATTCAGGTATTCAGTTTTACTACAATGTTACCTTAAAGCAAGATTTTGTTGATAAAACAGCTCTACATGTCAATATTTTTTGTTAAGGTTATATTTTGTAAGACTTAAAGTTATTGAACACTGTAAAATAACTCCAAATTATATTTCGTATATTTGCAATATTGGCGTACTACCGGAAAATTGGTGTAAAATTGTTAATCATGTCATGGAATTTTATTTTTGGGAATGGAATCTTACAACAAGTAGCATCCTTCAGCTGATGAATTTGTATATTCTCGTTGCTCGTTTGCTGGAAAATATGATGAATTTGTAAGGAGAAGTTATTTGTAAATCACTCCTGTGAGTGATAGGGTTAAGCTTTGCCTTAGTCAAAGAATTACATTTTAAAAAATAACAGTTAAAAATTAAAAAGCTGACGAATTAAAAAAAAAAGACAAACAATACACTGGAAAACCAAACTCTATTTATTATAAAAAGGAGATATGATCACTTGGGCATGGACTTCTTCCGGTTAAACTTTGAAGAGTCCGCCTGAATTCCAATTATGCTCAAAATATTTCTTTACAAAGAAATTGTGGTGCCTTTTTATATTTTTAGACGGAAATTAAAAGTGTGCTTCAGTAAACATATGAGTTCTATTCCCCTCATTGGAAATTAAGACAATACCGCGATGTGATATTCCAGAGAAGAGCTTAACCTTGCGACAATTTTCCTCTAATGAATGTGAAACCTGATTGTTGTTTAGTAACTTGACCGCTTACTTTGAAGATAAAAGACTTAAAATAGGACTGCAGTCTCGAACCGAGGCGCAGGCTCCAGGGGCTAGAGCAGCCAATTACTAGAAGGCTGTTTGAGGAGCGCGCGTTTGAATCTACCCTATTCTTATCCAACTACACTTCGTAAAGTATAAATAACGCCATAGACGAGTACAAATATTACGCGGTATTTGTACTCGTCTATGGTAGAGTACTGGTTAAAAGGGTTTCTCGAATCGCGCAAGCGAAGAATTGGATTGTGGTTACGAAAAAAAATTCGGACAAATTAAATCATATTTCCGACAACGAAGAGTCAGAATGGCTGGCAAATATAGATCAAAGTTTATTAAATGAATCGAACGAAGAAAAACAGCTTGACAACCAGAAAATTTCTTCATTTAATGAAGTCCTCT